AGTGGAAGTGTCTGGACTTAATTTAAGGATCCACTCAAAGTTTTAAAGTTAGTATGATTGGAATAGCTGTGAGTAGGATAGATTGAAAAGGAGAAAAGATTAGAGGTAGGGAGGGGCTTATATAATTCCAAAATGGTGTCACTGGAATTTAAATGTGGTTTTGTGGTATTTATTTTCCTATAATCTACAAATAACTGGATGAACCCATTAGGTTTGGGAAACTACATAAAAGGAGGACCTAGGTAAGGATGGTGGTGTTCATAATTTGCTTTGACATGTTCTGTATTGCTCTTTTAATGATAGAATAATAGAAATTCAGAGGTTGAAGGAATCTCAGAGATCATCTAGTCAACCCATATATAAAAACAAAAACAAAAAAATACAACATTCCTAACAAGTAGTCATCTAACCCTTGCCTTGTAGTCCTCAATGGGAAAGGGGCCCAAAGCAGCCCATTTTGCTTTAGAATAACTCTAATTCTTTGGAAGTTTTCCCTTAATCTAACCTAAATCTACTTCTCTGCAATTGATTCTCATTATTGCTTCTAGTTCTGGCCCCAGGACCAACAGGAACAAATTGAATTCATCTGCTACATGATAGACCTCCAAATATTTAAAGTTAGCTATGATGTACCCCTAACCCTTCTCTTGGTTAAACACCCTATTTTTGGTAGTGAGGGAAGAGAATACCATGCATTGGAGATTTAATTCTGACAATTTTGCCTGTACTTGAATTAGCAAGTAAAATATTTAGTTGGGCTCACCCAGTAGGTGTCTGATGGTATTCACAATGAATTGTTTAGGAAAATATGAAGGCAAATATCCAAGAAAGGTTTGCAGAGCAGTATGGTAGTTCTGCTTCGGTGGTCTAGTGTTCTACTACACTTTCCTCTATTTGTGGGGCTTGGAAATCAATCCCTTCAATCCCCTTGGTGAGATGGAGAGCCTACAAGGCCTATCTATATCCTTTAGGTATGTGGGTTGATTGTGTGGGTTGGGTACTGTTCTACTCCAAAGCTTAAACTAGAGTGGATCAGTTAAAACATCTGATATGTTCCAAATTCAGTCTTGAGTTTCATAGCTTAGCCCAGTGGTGGAGTTCAGTTCCTTGTCACTAAAGAGCAGTGCCTGGCCCTGGGCACTGGGCTTCTAGGGAGCCTCCCAATAGGCAAGCTGCAAAGAGAGCAGCTTATCATACCAGTCATTCTTATTTATGCTTATATATGCTCACATAATTATTTATTTTCAATCAATCAATTAATCAATAAACATTTATTAAGCATCTATGCACCAGGCACTGTGCTAAGTGACAAAAAGAGTCAAAAGACAGTCCTGCCTTCAAGGAGCTACAATCTAATTGGACAGAGGGGACCAGTAAAGCCCTTATCAATCCATTTGTGTGAAGGTGGTAAGCTGTCACTCTGGAGGAGCTTTGTTGCCATATCCTTCCATAAACATCTCAGAATTCCAGAGAGAAATTTAGAATATTAATCAACAGTGTTAAAGGAAATTTAAGGTGTAAGAAAATCTTCATGAGGAGCTTCTGTTACTCTTGAGGCTTCCCTAGGCGAAGAACAAGGCTATAATTGAGAGTACCATGGCAATGGTAATGATATACAGGAGGAGATCTTAATCTTTTCTGTGTCATGAATGGTGAAACCAATGACCTTTTTCTCCAAATGATGTTTTAAATACATAAAATAAAATACATAGGATTAAAAAGGAAACAAATTACATTGAAGTATGGTTATCAAAATAAAACACACACACACACACACACACTCAAAGGAAGTTCATGGACCCCAGGTTAAGAACTTCTATTTGAGATGGGGCCATAGCTGGCACATTATTGCCATATGTGAACATTGTTTTGAGCAGGTGAGCACAAGAACTAACCCTCATCTCTCTGATGCCTGATACCAGTGCCACTTAGTGGTTTTGCCTGTTGTTGTTATTATTGTTGTTGTTGCAGGTTTTGAGAGTCAAAATCTGTGCCTGGATTTTGGATTTACTGCAGCAAATCTTGTCTCTTTCCTCACCTGTCAGATTTGGTATTCTGGTGAACTTTTGGTTTGATCTAGCATAGACTCTACTTTTCTCTCTTGGATTGAGATTTGCCCACTTTTCCCTAAGAAAAGTTTTACTCCCTTTTAATTGCCCTTCAGTAACTATCTTTAGAGGCCAGGGATTTAACAAGTTTGTTTTTGGGGTTCCTAGAGGTAATAAAGTTAACCACTGCCTATATGAAAGGTTTCCCCTTTCATGGAGCTCTGGGGGCGGAAATGGGAGTGTTGGAGGTGCCTCTAATATCCATTTCCTAAAGTGGAAGTTTAGCTTGACACTCTTTCCCATCCATTGATAAACTTACCAAATTTTACAATAATTGGGTCAATATTGGACTAGATTGATTAAGGAGAACTTAGCCAGAACCTCTGCTGAATTCATATCATTCCAAGGTGTCTCAAAATGGACAATTCTGATACCAGCTCAAAAAATTTCCCTTATGGAGAACTGATTTTTCACTGATTCCTCTGTTACAAGAGGTAGTCACATACTCTAAGGAGTGCTATATTAAAGGCAGCTTCCATTTTCTTTAAAAGAAATTTTTTGGTATGCTGCAATTTGTTTCAGAATTTGGAGGGAAAATATGCTTGACCAAACAAGAGATAGCGAGAATCCCAGGAAGTAAAATGAACAGTGTTTATATAAAATCGAAAAGCTTTTACACAAACAAAATCAGTGCAATTAGAATTAGAAGAGAAATAGTTAACTGGGAAAAATATCTTGTTTCTCTGATAAAATAAAAGTCCAAACCTATCTAATTACAGGACAAGCATATCAGCTCAAAAAGAAAGCGAAGTCAGATGAGTTTCTCTGATAAAAGTATGGTGTCAAGGATACATAGGAAACTGATTCAAATTTATAAGAACAAGAATCATTTGTCAATAGACAAATGGTAAAAGGTTATAAATAGGCAGTTCTCAAAAGAACGAAAACAAGCTGTCAACAACCATATGAAAAAATGTATCAAATAACTAATAAGAGAAATGTAAATTAAAACCCTGGGGTTCCACCATACTCTTATCAGATGGGCAAAGATGACCAAAAAAGGAAACAAACTATTGTTGGAGGGCACATGGGAGATGGAAGATTAAGCACACCAATGAACCATTGTTGGAGCTGTGAACTGGTTTAGCTGTTGTAGAAAGCAACTTAAAAACCATAGCAAAAAAAAACCCATTAAATGGTGCCTATGCTTTGATTCAGCAATACGACTATTAGGCCTGTTCTTCAAAAAGATAAAAGAGGGTGCCAAGATCCCCACACCAAGACCACCCTCTCTTTTTGCTATTAGGAGACACCCTGTTTTCCAGAGCTAAGTCCCAGCAAACAAGCTTTGCCCTGAGCTTGGCATAACAACAACCCTTTGCTCTTGCCCTTTGGATGAACTCAGCTGCACCAAAATCCCAGAATTGTTTCACACCAGCACCAAGTGGTCTCTGAGCTCGGACAAGTACCTGCAGTACCCACATCCTGGTCATTAAGCCCTGCCATGAATCAAACTTGTCTCATTGTTGCTGTTACCCCTCATTGTCAGGGCTACAGCTTACTGAGTGGTCCGTAGCATATGTGTGGAGATTTGCCCACACCAAAGTGGGTCTTCTACTACAGGAGGGCCTGATACATGTGTCTAGTTTCCCTCTTCCAATGGAATAAAGAAAGCTTTTTGTTTGTGACCATTGTTAATTCTTTGACTTTATTTTGTTTTCTTTCTATTTGATTTTTCTGAGTTAACTGTGGTTGTAATAACCTGTGAGAGTTCTTTGATATTTTTAGCGTTAATAGCAGTTGTAAAACCCCTGTGACTCTTGGTTATTTGTTTTCAGGGCTGACAAGAGAAGGAACTCATATGTAAAAAATATTCATAGTGGCACTTTTGGTAGCAACAACAAACTTGAAACAAAGTGGGTACTCACCAGTTAGGTAATGACTGAACAAATTATGGTATGTGAATATAATGGAATATTATTGGACTGTAAGAAATGGTGAAAGGGATGGATTCAGATGATGATAACAGCTAGTTATGGAATGATACAGAGTGAAATGAGCAAAGCCTTGAGAACAATTTATACAATAACTACAACATTGTAAAGAAAAATAACTTTTAAAAGATTTAAATGCTCTGACCAATGCAGTGACCACACATTAGTCCACAGGCCAGAGAACAAAGCATGCTCCCCTTAGTGGAAGGAGGTACCCTAAAGTCTCCTGTGAAATTAGTTGTTACATTTGGGGACATCTTCCAGGATCTGAAGGGCTGATTCTCATCAACCGTGAACACTTAATCCTCTTTTGGGAGCCCCACATGTGTTTGGTGCTCATCTGACTTCGCTTTCTTTTTGAGCTGATATGCTTGTCCTGTAATTAGATGGGTTTGGACTTTTATTTGAAATGCCCTGTTAATGTGGAGAAAAATAGAGAATTCTACATTCTGTAGGGGACCTGTGGAGAAATTTTGTCTAGGCCTTTATTTGACTTGCTCTGTACACTGGTACGTGATCCACTGGGCAAACCGTTATCCCAACTGGGATTGTCCTATGTGGAAGAATTTTCACCCAAAGTGGTTTGGTTTCTCACTTGGGTGTGTGTGTGTGCATGTATGTATAGCGACCCATAGATTAGGAATCTAATCCCTACTAGGAGCGCTCCACATACTCTGGTTGCTAATTTGGGATTAGACTTTTCCTCTGAGAAGGAAAGCTCGCCTTTTCCTTTTCTTTTCTTTATTTTGTTTAGTTGTTTCAGTTTTTTCATTTTATTTGTGTTTTTCTTTCTTTTTTTTTTTGTATTGAGACAGGCTCTTTCTTGTAAGTGCTTGGCAGATGGCGAAACCTGCAATTTGGGCATCTTATATGGAGCTCTACAGTAACCTTAAGCCCCATGTGTGCAACTTCTCCACTTCAGAAAACTAAGGAAGATGACACATTAGGTTTCAAGACATAAGAAAGAATCATTTGCTTTATTGAATCAGGTCTTGCCATTTATTTGCCCAGGTCGGGAGTCCTGAATGAGTAAAGGTCAAAAGCCATTAAGTCCCTTATAGAAACTGTGCATCACAATAAAAAAAAATCGGTACACCTGCTTTCCTACGGGAGGGTTTCTTCTTAATTTTCCCTGATTCGCTCATCAGCTTGGCAGATCCCAGCATCCCTGATTAGAATGACCCATACCCAAGAGTCCTTTAACCTAGGACTAGTTACATTTTAGACTCTCTGTTTAGTTTCTAGTCTATAGTTACATAAACTACTGATAGTCCTGGTACAATATCATATTTCTGGTGTCTCCTTTTATCTACATAAGCAATTTGGTCAGCTGAATAAAAATCAGCATAAAGCAGCGAGATATCCATTCCAGGACCAAGGTTAAGCTAAGTACTCTGCACCCTAGGTCTAATAATTCAGGACTTCTTAAACTTTTTCCACTCAAGATCCCTTTAGCACTTCTTAAATTGTGGGTCAAAATCCCATATGGGGTTGGTACCCACAGTTTAGGAAACACATTATGGATTCAATATGCTGGGCCTAATCTCTTTTAATCCTTTTTCTTTGTTTTATCCCCTAACATTTCTACCAAGCATTAGCATTACCACCTAGTATAATAACATTACTGATAATGTTAGTAATATTTCTATTAGTTAGTTATAATAAATATTACTACCTAGCATTATCATTACTACCTAGTATAATAACATTACTAGTAATGTTAATGCTAATTGTTATTAGTATTACTACTATTTAATAGTAATAAACATTACTGCCTAGCATCCCTAGAGTTACTACCCTACTTGACATACCCATATGCCTATATAGCCTGGTTCCCTAAAGCAATGGCTTCAAACTTCATGTTTGTTATAAACATATCACAAAATCTATTTGTAACAATCCTACTCAAATCTTTTCTTTTCTTCCCGGAGACTTGTTCATCTGATTATATGTTTGATTGGACAAAAGGATGAAGGGTAGTAAAGAGTTGAAAAACAGCCAGTGGGTTTGAGGTACCTATTCTCAGGAAAGCACAGGGGATAGAATGCTGAACTTGGAGTTAGGAAGACCTGGCCTCAAATTTCTCCTCTAACACTTTAGCTGTGTGACCATGAGGAAGTCACTGGGTCTCAATTTCCTCATCTGTAAAATGGGGTAATGATATTGAGAGTCTCTGCCTCATAGGGTTCAAATGAAATAATGTTTACATAAACCACTTTGCAAACTTTAAAGTGTACAAATGCTAATGATCATTTTTATTGTTATCATCATAGCACCAGCCATATGTCTGCAAAGAGAGTCCCCTCCTGTATCCTTTATCCTTACACTGGGACCAATCATTTCCTGGGATTAGCGGGGGCCCTAGGGCAGTTTACGTATGGTTATTGATCCTTCCCATAGCCTCAGTGCTGGATAAAGTGGCTCTTGGAACCTTGAGTAAAATGTGTGTAAGTGTGTCACACCACATGTCATATCATAAAAAGAGAGAATTCCAGCCTCGTAATCCAGGAAAATTCCAATCCTTTCAGGATCATGATCTATTGGTATTCGTGTTCTTTCTCCATTATGAAATGCCCAGTATTCCATATCAAATCTTTTTAAACACCAAGATTCTCTATTAAACCCCAAACGACTAGCTTCAGAATTTCCTTTGCGTCCAATGGAAGAATAAGCCACCCCTATCCACCATCCTATCCCAGACTTGAGTAAGTCCACCTCCCAGTAATGACTCCCAGAGAAGAAAGAGTCCCGGCTCAGCACCTGCCACAGTTTATCAAACCTCTGGGGATTAAATAATTGAATCTTGCCAATCAAAACACAGGTCACAGTCAAACGGTCATCAGACAATCGCAGCCGGGAATGCATAGTGTCTGGTTCCAGGGTTGGGATTCTGGCATCTGTTTAAAAGACAACGCCCCAACAAATCATCCGTTCCTTCCAAAATACAGCAAAGCAACAATAACAACAACAACAACAACAACGACAAAATACCTGAATAATCAGAAATATTCCTAAAAGGATGTTCTGCTTAATTGTAAATTAATCTGATACTTGGTTTTGCTTCAAGCTGTGCTGAAAGCTTTTCTAAATTCTAGCAAGTTTTTTATGCTTCTGTTTTTTGTCAGTATATGAGAAAAATTTGTCTCTTCCTTCAATGAGTGAGAATCTTGAAATCATTACAGACATCATCATGAAGGGCTATGATCATTAAATGGGACTGTAGATGTAAATGGTATAGAAGTTGCTAGTCATCTTGCTTCCTACTCCTTACCTCCCCATCCCAGAGTACTTATACTATGCTTAGTGTTGGGTCTTACATATTGGGACATTAATAAGCTGGAGAGCACCCAGAAAAGGGATACTAGGACATTGAAAGTTCTTGTGATCATGTTAGATGAGGATTATTTGAAGGAACTAGAGGTATTTAACCTGAGAAGAAAAGCCTTGAGGATTGGAGGTGGGTGTGGGTAGGTAGGACGTTTAAAAGTCAATCCCATAGAAGATACTTTAGACTTGTGATGCTTGGCTCCAGAGGGCAGAACTAGGAATATAAGAGTAGGTTTTGAGCTGGAAGGGACCTCATGAATCTCTGGTTCAACCCTCTCATTTTAGAGATGAGGAAACTGAGGTCAGATTTGAACCCACATGCTCTGACTTCAGGGCCCATAATCCATCTACTTCACCAAGCTGTCTCTTCTTAACTGGTGAAAACTGTCAAAGCAAATTTAGGATCGATGTAAAGAAACATTTCCAACAGTTAGAGTGATCAAGAAATTGAATAGGGTGCTTTGGGAGGTAGTTGGGTTTCTTCTGGTTTATGGATGACCACTTTGAACAGATTTTCATGGAGGAGACACTTGGCCAGATACTAATTAGACTAGCTGGACTTTGAGGTTCTTTCCAACTCTGAGATTCTGCAAAATGAGAACAGACTAAAAAGACAAGTTTGGAAAGATGAAGGCTACATAGGAGGATATGAGGTTTCTTAATTCATAAATGTTATTCACCAAATCTTGGAATCATAGCCCAGAAGCAAAGATTCCTCTTCAAGCTAGGAAGAGATAAATTTAGAACACATAAAGGGAACCCTAACTTTATAGAACAAGTGTTCATTTATGGAATTTACTACACCAAGAGGTGGTGGTAAGAGCTGGGAAAAATATACAAAAAAAGTTTCAAAAGAAGGTGTTTGGAAAACTCAAACTCATGGAAAATCCATTCTAAGAGAAATAAGCATATTTAGGGATACCCCTAACTTCTTCAAGTTGACAATATTACATCACTTTATGTTTTTTTTTTTCCTAGACTGGATTTCATTTGATCGTCTCAACATCCTTGTGAGTTTACAGGATTCCTCCTCTTCCTCCTCACTATTATTATTAGGCTTGGAATTATGACTTCATTATTTCAGGAAACTCCATTGACTATTTTGCAACTTATTGTCTTAGAGAGTTGTTTGGTGGCGCTGAGAAGTTAAATGACTTGTCTAGGATCACATGATGTAGCAGAAGTAAGGCCTGACCTAAGCTCTTCCTAACTCTATCCACCATGTCCCAATGCCTCTTAAAGTGGTTATTACCATCCTCATTTTACAGTTTAAGAAACTGAGAATCAGTGAGGTTAAGTGAATTGACGAAGGTCACATAGGTAGATTTGGGACTCAAACTGAATTCTTCTGACTCCCATACTAGGCCTCTTTCTACTATACATACTGCTATCAGGGAGAAAAATAATGCTCTCTTTTTTGAGGGAGATTTCTTTCTTTCTTTCCTTCTCTTTCTTTTCTTTCTTTCTCTCTTTCTTTTCTAGAACTATATTTCATTGGCATAACAAACCTCTGCCAAGAAAATTCTTCCTAAGTTCAGATGGGCTTCTGCATTGCATTTATAGTCACGATGAGTTGCCTGTAGCATTGAAAGGTTAAGGGACTTGCCCAGGATCACACAGTCAATATATGCCAAAGGCAGGACTTTGAATCCAGGTCTTCATTACTCCACAACTGGCTCTCTAACCACACCACCACACTGCCCCTAATAATATCCTTTTATGGTTGTCCCTTGGTGTCACTGTGAGAGGTAGAATCTTGAGCTGGATGAGCCATGGATCTGACTCAGTGTATCATTTTTAAGGTTCTTAAAATATTAACCTGGGTATGTGTATCCTCTTAAGCAATTTTTCATACTTCATAAAAAGCAATTCAAAACATTCTGTCTCTGTCAGAGCTATGAAGATATATCTTCTCTTCCCTATGTCACTTATGAACTCTTCTCTTCAACTCCCTCCTACTTGGGAAAGACTGCATTAGTTCAAAGAATGAGTTCCTGCTTATCTTTCTCCTCCTTTTGATATCATCACACTCTGTAGGTACTCAGATACTTTTACGTGGAAGGCCTTCAGAAACTTGTAATGATTAACTGGAGCATGCATGAAGTTATATTTAAGTTCACTCACACTAATACCACCCCAAAGTGGATAACACAATGACATGGCAGAAAGAGCACTGGAAAGTGAATCTGGACACTTGAATTTAAGTCTTACTTCTGCCATTTGCTTATAGGATAACCTCAGGCAAATTCCTTGGCCTAAATTTCAGTCTCCTCATCAAATGAACTAGATCTCTAAGGTCCTTTATAGTTCTAATAATTATGATTCTATCCAGCATCCACATTTAGGCATCCATCCCCTGACTCTCACCCCATTTCAACCTATGTCAGTACGTTAAAAACTGGGCTAATATATCCTTTATTATTGTCATTTCATCATGTGGGCCAGAGTAATTACTAAGGATCATTTTATCTATTTCCTATGATGTCTTCGGAGAGATTTATGGCTTTTCTTGGGGCATGATTTGTATCTGTGCCCTGTGTATACTGTTTTTTGGAGGTAGAACTGGACCAATGATTTCATCAGTAGAGGGATTTTCCCCACAAGAAAATACACTCTACTAATGATAAGATTCTTCATCTTCCTTCTCTTTATTATTTTGAGGCCTGGACTTATGATTTCATTAGTTCAGAGAACTCCTGGTGGGGAAATTCTCTCTACCAATGCACATCAACTCTTATGCAATGTAAAGTACTGAGAAGTTAAGTGATTTGTTTTGGGTCACGTAACCAGTAAAGGTCAGAGGTCATCCTAACTCCCAGGCTGGCCCTCTATCTAGTGCTGCCCATTTGTAGTACAGGTACATAATGTTGTGCTGCCCATATATAGTATAGGAACATAAAAGGAAGGATTGTTATTGTTGCTAGATCTCCCTGTTTGTCTCAGGCTCTATGATACAAGGATGAAGTTGCAGGTTCTCTCAAACAGTAACCTTGGTAGGTACTCACAAGGGATATAAGAAATTACCTTAGGCCAAACAAGTATTGATAGATCTGTGACCTGCCTTTCTATAATAAGTGGTCAGGGGGACTGAATCTGAACATTATACAGTATTACCACATTCTCTTTCTCTGGGCGACTCAGCCCTGCTCTATGGATTTATTCTTACAAGACAGACTTGTTCAGTGATTATACCTAGTGTCCTTTACAATGATAGTATAACAAAGGATAGACAGAGGTATTGAAGAGCATAGCTGCAATCTGCCCTGTGAGGCTAAGCAGGAGAAATGTAATCCCTCTTCTACATGGCAGTCAATGCTTCAAATACTCAACAGCTATCAAAAGCTAAACTGCTAATCATTCCTCTGCCATATTGGTCTCTTTCTTCCATTAGTGAGTTGTTCCTTGGGGGCTTCATTTTGTGATGGGTCCAGGCCAGCCATGCTCCATTCCCCTCCTAATTGTGGTTCTGACTATTTGAACTTTGCCCCCATCTTTCTCCCCTCCCCTTGTGGGGTACCTTCTTCCTCCTACTCCCCACTTTCTTTTCAGTTCCCTTTTATGTGTTATCTTCACTAGAATGGAAGCTCCCTGAGAACAGGAATGGTCTTTCTTTTTGCTTATACTATATTCACATCTCCAGTGCCTGGCATGTAGTACTGTATTTCTTTCCTTTTTTAAATTTTTTTTTATTTTTTGGTGAGGCAATTGGGGTTAAGTGACTTGCTGAGGGTCACACAGCTAGTAAGTGTCAAATGTCTAGTCTGAGGTTGGATTTGAACTCAGGTCCTCCTGAGTATTTCACCACATAATCATCGCCACTTAATAATAGTCAAACCCTGTTTTTCCAGTCCAAAAACTGGTTTATAACCTTTTATCGTGTAATTGTCACATGGTATAATTTTGTTTGTCACGCCGCTTAACATTGTCACGTTGGGCAGACTCTTAAGGAGTCTAAACATGAGTAAGCAGTGGTTAGATTATAAGAATATAAACAGTGGCTAGATTTTAGGAATCTGAGCAGTGGCTAGATTATAAGAATCCCAGCTGTCACGCCGCTTAAGAGGTAAACAGAGCAGTAATGTATTCACCAGAGACATATGGATATGCATTTATCTCTTGCCCATTGTGAGCCCCACGCCTAGAATTCTCAGTGCAGGCTCATTGTCAGTATATTTCTGAAAGCCAGCTCACGTGGTTTGTTTAGAATGCTGCAGTACTAACGGTATTGTCACTTAACCTTGCTGTAGACGCCAAGGGAAGCAGGCAAAGCTGCCATGAGTAAGTCATGTGATATGGTAAGACTTGCATCTTTCCTCAGTAGCCAAACTGTACAGCTCATCTGCCAATGATGCAGTTTAGTAATAAATGATTTTTAAGTAATACTGGCACAATTTTTAAAAGCTTCACATAATGGTTGCACCCCACTTTTTTAAAAAATTGGCATAAAATCTGTGACGATCATGCGGTGAAATGTGTAAGTACTTGATAAGTGCTTGTGGCCTTGTTGTTTTACCAAAGCCTTTTCTTTTCCAGGTAAAAAATCCTCAGTTCATCAATTACTCTACTCTTGACCAGGCTCCAGAATCATAGAACTGTGTTTAGAAGGGAACTAAGAGTCCAAATTCTACCTGAAGCAACCCATAACCCATGAGGAAATATCCAACTAGTGGTCATACTGTGTCTGATTCTCATTTGAATGCCTCTAGTAACCTGTTATCTCCCTTGAGGCAGCTCATTTTGTTTCTGGACAAGTTCTCATTCTTAGAGATTTCCTTTACAGTATATTGACCTGAAAAATGCCTTCCTGTAATTTCTGTCGATTGTTCCCATTCTGCCATCTGTGGCCAAGCAAACTTAATGGCATCCTTCTTCCATATGATAACTCTTCAAATATTGAAGATGGCCATCATGCCGCTTCTTTGTCTTTCCTCTTTGCCTTCTTTTTTTGTCATGTCTTTTCTCTTCCAAGCTAAACTGGGGGGAGGGGGGGTGTTCTTTAGCCTGATGTCTCTCACCATGCTATCTCTTACCCCAAATGAGAAAAAGTATGAAATAGTGGAAAGAATACAATTCATTAATGAAAAGGTGTTTAAATCCTGGGCCTGACACACAGACACACACAGACACACACAGACACACACACACACACACACACACACACACACACATAGAGACAACCACTATTTTTATTCTCACTTTACAGATGAGGAATGGGAGCCTGCAAGAAGTTAAATGACTTGCCTAGGAGCAAAAAAAAATTAGGTATCTGAGGTGGGATCTGAACCTAGGTTTTCATACCTCCAAGTCTAGTGTTCATTTCTCTATGAGGCTTCCTTTCAGTCACGTAGCCTTTATTAGACTTTGGTCTCTTTATCTATGAAATGAGTTGGAATAGATAATCTATAATCTTAGAATACTATGAGATCAATTTTTCCAACTAACATATATGTACTATAATTTTGAATCATTCTTTATCTGGTTGCTGACCTATGAACATGATGCAGCTTATCAGTGTCTCCTCCAAACTGTGACCCTTAGAACTGGACACTTTCAGATGTGTTCTCCCCAGGGGAAAGTGGAATGAAATCATATCCCATATTCTAGACACTATGCTTCTATTTATACAGATTTCATTAGTTTTTTGGGGCTATTAGGCAGCACCACTAATTCAGATAGTACTTGATGTCCACCAAAAATACTTGGTGATCTTACATGGACTATTTTCACTCTCATCCTGTGCCTGCACAGTTGATTTTTAGAGCCTAAGTGCAGGACTTTGCATTTATCACTGCTAAATTTCATCTCAGACTTTAAAAATCCTTTGGGGCAGGGGTGTTGTGGTTCAACATTGTTGGACTTTACATGACTGACATTGATTGTAATGCTTTAAAATGCAACTAATATACTTTGTTTCGACAGGGAAAACATTTAAAAATAGTAAAAGGATACTCTGTCTCAATTTGTATGTACAAATAGAGTCATAGATTTATGCTAGTCTTACCATATTCTATGTTCCTTTATATACTAATGTTACCTTACATTTTAAGAAGAGTGAACGCTCAGGTGTGGGTGTTGTTTTCAGCAATGTACCAGGTTTTGACTGGGAAGATACAGAAAGCTGGCTGCAGGTATCTAGAAGAAATTGCAAGACACTTTTGTTATGTATCCAGAAAAACAACTCACCTGTTCTAGGTAGTTTGTAGTGGATTTGATTTTTTTTCTGATGTAAATTTTAACTTCACTGTATTATGGGTGACTGAGGAGGAAGTTAGGATGAGAAGAAATATTTACTGGTCCCAATACATGAAGGTAGTCTCAGTCTGTACCAGATGAAAGGTAGAGAGAGACTATTCTAGTCAAAAAGGAAGTCTTGGAAACTGGAACAAGAAGGAGTTAGGTAGGGCTGACAGTTCCTAAGAAATTCAAGTGCAAAAGAGTGTTTGGGCACATACAAAATAGCAAGATGCTGGGCATAGTGTTTTAGAGATGAGGTAGGGTCAGATAACAAGCTTTTGTTACAGGCAAATAAATTTAGGATCAATGGTATGAGTTAAGTCAGTGGTACCTGGGCCGTACTGATGCATGCTTTTGCACCTGATCAAGAAGAAATTACAAAAACAGGTGGTACAATCTCTCTTCTTTTCTCCTCTCCTTTCTTCTCCCTTGCTTTCCCCTCTCCACCCCCACCCCGTCTCTTTTCCTTTTCCTCTCTCTCCTCTCCTTCCCCATCTCTTCTCCTCTTCTTCCTCATCTCCTCTCCTCTCCTTTAGCATCTCCTTTCTTCTCTTCTCCTCTTCATTCTCCTATGTTCTACCATTTTCTTTCCTCTTCTTTTTTGTTTTTCTTTCCTCTCCCCTTCTCTTTCCTTTCCTTCTTTCCTCCCCTCCCCTCTCTGCCTCCTCTCCTCTTTCCTTCCTTTGTTCCTCCTTCACTCCTTTACTTACTATGTGTAGAACATTGTTAATTTTATTGAATACTCCAAAAGTACTTGGAACAGATCTATTTTTGCTTTTGAGTGTCTTATTGTTATATTATTTATTCTTCTGGAGACTTCTCACTTTCTTTTACCTCTCCCTCAAATGTTTATGTATTGTGTGCCTTTTATTTCTTCTTTCTTTATTCATTGTTTCAGTTGTCTTTTTCATTTTTCTGTCAAGTACTTTTCCCCAGGAGGATTTATTTAATTTCCCTTCGGGTTTTATCTTGTTGTTCTTTTACTTTGCTCACTAAAACCATTTCCAACAAACCAGAGAAAGAGCTGATCCCTAGTATACCAGATCCTTGCCCACTATTGGTGTTTCATAGGTTTATAAATACCAGAAGAATGTAAACCCCTTAAGGGCAGCATCTCTTTTCATTTTTGTCTGTATATCCCTGGTGTCACTTTATCAATACTTGTCAAACCAAATTGAATTTTAAAAGTAGAAGAAACCTAGATAACTAAATATTCTCTTTGCTCCAATTATCTAAACATTTCTACTTATGAAGGAGTATTAGTATTAGTATTTCCTTCTTTGGTAGGCCTCCATAAATGATCACTGAATGAATGAGCCACTGAGTGAGAAAGACAGGGAAAACAGCATGAGTAGGAACAAAGAGGATGGTAAGCAAAATAGTTGGGCTAGAGAAGAGGATTTCTTTAGAGGAGCAGTAGTCCGAATAAAGACAGTATGGGACCAGATTCTGAAGGGCCTTGAGTCAAGGTCAAGGGATATGAACTTTACCTTGTAAGTCTTTGAAATCACTGAACTTTTTTTTTGAGCAAAAGAATATCATGATGGAAAGCATTTTAGGAAGATTAGTTTGGCAGATTTATCTGGGCTAAAGAGACCTGGTGTGAGTCAGAAAGCAAAAGCATCCTGCATTGTCTGCAAAGAAATTAGGTTAAGTAAAAAATTACTTACCTTCTTTAAGGCGGACATCCAATGGCATCTGCAGAGTGGTAAAAACAGCTGTTGCTAAGTTCCTGTAATAGGTCTTAGCATGCTCAAACTTGACAGGTATTGGATGGAATAATTCTGTAGGAATCATCTGCTGCATCATTTCCTTTTCTGATGCTGTATATTCCTAAAGGTAACAAAATTGATTTTATGTTTGGTTTAAACAAATCTGTGAAAGGGGAAAGAATGTCACTGCCCTTTTTATGCCCACTTATAAAAAACTCAGAAGTCTATTCCCTCCACTGACTTTTAGGCTATTTAGCTTGGATTCCCTCCACTGAAGTCCTACTCTGGTGCCTCATAGTGGTATGGAAGTGATGTGGAAGTGACCCTATGTTCTAGAAAGCTATTCTAGGAGACCATTAGCATTGATAGGTCCTTCTAAGCTGGAAAGGCTTTGAGTAAGGGTACAGAATGTCTATCATTCAAATAGCAGTCTAGCTAAGTGTGATGAGGCTCCTTAATCTGTCAATAAACAAGCATTTATTAAGAGCTTACCATTCACCAGGTACTATACGAAATACTGGGTATACAAAGCCAAAATAAACAAAAACATTCCCTTCCCTCAAGGAGCTTACATTTTAAAGGGGGAGACAATATGTATAAATCAGAGTATTAAAAAAAATAGGAGTAGATAGAGTATAACTTTAGGAGGGGTTGGCAATACCAACTGGGGGAAGGGGGAAGAGGAGGGTCTAGGAAAGGCCTCCTAGAAGAAATGGTGCTAGAGGTAAGTCTTAAAGAAAGCCAAAGATTCCATGACTCGTAAGTTAGGAAGGCAGCATTCCATGCTAATGAGTATTTCTATAATGACAACTCTCAGAGATCCTCTACTAAAATGCAAAAGAGTTACTATCTGTGTCAATGAAGAGGCAGTGTCAGGTAATGGATAGAGTGCTAGAGTAGGAGACAGGCAATCTTGGGTTCAAATCCTGCCTTTGACACTTACTAGATGTAAGACCAAGGACAAGTTAACTAACCTCTATTTCTATATCTGTAAAATGGGAATAATAAAACTTTCAGTACTTACCACACAGAGCTGCTGAAAAGCTCAAATAAGATAAACTATGTAAAACTCTTTGTAAACCTTAAAGCTTTATCTAAATGTCAGCTACAGGAGCACTTACACCAAAGAAAGAAAAAGTCCTTGAAGCATTAGCTTGAAAATATTAGCATATGCCTACAAACAATATATTTTTTATACATGGCTACTTATATATTATATTTACATTTGTAAATATAATTGTATAATATTTATAAATATATTTATATTATGCTGTTTATATATGTCATATTTTTAACATAATAAAATTTATTTTTCCAAAATGCTCAATTTTACTGAAAAAAGTCTAGTCAAGGGCTCACATTTTTATAGTACTTTAAAGTTTATGAAACATTTTTCTTATAGCAACTCTATGAGAAATTGCCAATAACACTATCCCTATTTGAAAGATGAGGGATCTGAGGCCTAGAGAAAAGGAGTAACTTGCCCAGGGTCACAAGCTGACCTCAAGGTCAGCTCCGTTCCCAGCATATCATGTAGCTTGACAAAATGATAACTGAAAGGAATTAAAAAAATGAGAAAATAAGATGTATTAAGATAGCGTATAATCTACCTGCAACTATACACTTTCTGGCAGCTTGAAGAAAGGAAGTCTTGTCTATTCTGACCTGGAAAAACCACATTAATAATACTACATTCAGATCAGGACACAACATGATAAGAGGACCACTAATGAACTAGAGAACATCCAGAGAAGGGGCCTCAGAATAGTCAAAACCATGCCATGGCCAACAAACATTAATTTAGCATCTACCATACACTGTGCTAAGTACTAAGAATGATAGAATAACACCTAATCTGGTCTTGAGGAGAGTTCAGTCTGATGGAAAGGGATGACAACAATATAAACATAAAATTAGAATGTAATATTATATATGATATATCCATCTCTATAACTCTCTATCTATGAAATGTATAACATAAGGAGCAGTTGTGGGAATTGATCAAGTTTAGACCAGAGAAGATAATGAAAGGTTGTCAACTATCTTAAAGGCTGTCATATGGAAGAGGAAATTTGAGATACTCTGCTTATCCCCATAAGGGATAACTAGGACTAATTTTGACTCAATATAAAGAAGACTAATGGCTGTCCCCAAATGGAATGACAGACCTTTTGAGCTACTAAACCCTATATTACCAGAATTGTTCAAGCACAGGGTGCATGCCCACTTGAGAGTGTTGGTGTTGAGGGAGATTCCTATGTTGAATGAGAGGCCCAGTGAGATGACCTCAAAGGTTCCTTTTTTAAGGAAGGGCACTGTTGGAATATTAGAAGGATTTCCTAAAGATGGTCCTCCAGATATTCCATGTTGCAGATGATGCTCCCCTTTCAGCCCTAAATCTATGATCCTAGGATATATTTATTGAATCAAGCTCTTGAACACTGTAGGGTCTCTTAAATGAGATTCATAATCATTCCAGAGAGTTCAGCTTAATTATTCACACAGGAAAAATCAAGTGCATGAAGAATGACCAAGTGGATGGACAAGTTATCTGTCCATCAGTGCATATGTCTTGGATAGACACCGTGGACAAACAATCAGCAAGGCTCAGATCTGAAGAGCAAAGTGGGCAACACTGCCTTTGGGGTATGAAGCAATAACCTTTAATGACCCCAAGCTTCTCCCTGAGACAAAAGCCAATCTTTTTTTTTTCTTTTTGATGAGGCAATTTGGGGTTAAGTGACTTGCCCAGGGTCACTCAGCTAGTAAGTGTCAAATATCTGAGGTCAGATTTGAATTCAGGTCCTCCTGACTCCAAGGCCACAGCTCTATCCACTGTGGCACCTACCTGCCCCCCATCTTTTTAATAATGATATTCTTCAGGTGATTTTATATGGCTATGAAATACTACAGTGTCCAAAGAATTACAGTTGTAGGTCACCCAAAGGATAATGAAAAAGTACATGGTGGGTGTGAGTGGACTATAATATATTACCAATGAGGAGCTGCTGGAAGAAGTCATGATATCATTAAAGATATCATAGCTTTAGCCAGAATACCAAGGCTAGGGAAAGTGGGAAGCATGTGACTGAACTGGAGAAATGGCTTTCTTTCTTTTTTTTAATATAGTTGGAGCTCTTTGATTCAAAATTGATTTAACACTTAAAAAGAATAAAAAGTTTTTTCCCATTTGTCTAAAATTTGGCATAGATCTAGGAATATAGAAAAGTTATTAATTTTTTTCCCAACCCTTGGCAAGGCTAAGGTAATACACTATCAAGACTCTTAATGAGGAGAAAGTTTATTTTACAGAATATGACCTGAGTAGACTAAAAGTAGCAGAAAAGATTTAAGGACCCAGAAGTGTTCTGTGTTCTCTGTTTGATTTTTCTTCCTGGTGGGCAGAGGAAAAAGTGACACGACACCTATCTCTTTTTTTCTATCTGTATTTTCCAGTTTGTCTGTCTGTCTTTTCCTGTTTGTCTGTCGGTCTGTTTCTTTGGTCTGAAGCTAAGAAGCCTATGTGGTCTCATGTTAACTTAGGTCCCACTGGATACAGTATTGGCAATCTAATTCCATCCCATTTACAAAAATGCTAGCCTATCTATATTGTATCCTTAGGGGTTTTGTTGGTATTTTTTTTGTCCTGACCAATGATTTAATTGCTGTTGGGAACTTTGTGAGGAAGCTCTTGCTATCAATATAAGTCACTGGGGTCATCCACTTTGCAACTGACAGTCTTATAGAGTTGTCTGGGACAATGACTAGTTAAGTGACATGCCTAAGGTCACACAATCAGTGTCAGAGGCGGACCTTAAACCTAGGTCTTCCTGATTATGAGGTCAACTCTTTATACCTCATGCTTCTCATCTTTAGAGTTTCTGTTAAGAAATGTATTCTCAATTTGTAGAAGTTGTATTGTATAGATTTACATCTTTCTACTGAACTAGAAAACTATCTGAAAGTTTAAGTGCTAGATCCTTATGTGCACAAACTTTATGAGGTGGTGCAGTAGATAGAACACAGGAAATGGAGTCAGGAAGACCTGAGTTCTAATCTAGCCTCAGATACTTCCTAGCTGTGTGACCCTGAGCAAGTCACTTAACGCTGTTTGCCTCAGTTTCCTCATCCGCAAAATGTGCTGGAGAAGGAAATGGCAAACCACTCCAGTATCTTGGCCACGAAAACCCTAAATGGGGCCTTGAAGAGTGAGATACAACTGAACCGACTCAACAACATCAATCATCCTTAACTATTTCTTTCCAGTTCTTTTGAGAAAACCGGTCTTTGCTTCTTAACAGTTTCTAGAAATTTTTCTCCAGTGTACCTTGATATAGCAGGAGGGACAGAAGAGAGAGGAAACATAAGCATCAGGGTATAGTACATAGAAAACTGGCCTCAAAGCTAGGAAGACCTATGTTCAAATTCCTCCTCTGACACATACTGGCTGTGTGACTCTGGGCAAGTTGCTTAACCTCTAAGTACTCTAGGCAACTGAGATTAAAAATTGTGGAGAAAGTTTTGACCAGCACTGGTGATTTCACTGGGATAGGAAACTCTGGGCAAGGATACTCCCTCCACAGATGTAGATTAGCAACTGTTCTGCCATTTATAGTCTCTGAGAGTTGCCTGGGGCACTAAAGGGTTGCCCAGAGTCACACAGCTGGAAAGCGTCAGGGGCAGGTTTTGAACCCACATCCTCTTGACCCTGTGGTTAGCTCTCTATTCAGAACTCCATGCTGCACTACACATTCTTGTTGTTTAGTTGTTTCGGACATGTCCAACTCTTCATGACCCCATTTAGGGTTTTCTTGGCAAAGGTTCTGAAGTGATTTTACCACTGCCTTCTCCAGCTCATTTTACACATGAGGAAACTGAGGCAAACAGGGTGAAGTGACTTGCCCAGGGTCACACAGCTAGTAAGCTAGTAAGTCTGAAGTTGGATTTGAATTCAGGAAGATGAGTCTTTCCTATTTCAAGCCTAGTGCTCTATCCACTTCGCCACCTAGCTTCCTTGCACTACATATAGTAAGTGATACTATGTTTATTGAATTGAATGCTAGTTTGTGTAGCAGGCAATAAGTGTTTGTTGAAGTGAATTCGAGTTTGACTATACTAAACCAATTTTTTTTTACTTTTGGGTTTATCACCCCTGGATGAAGTTACTACAGACATTATAGACCTATGGAACTGTGAAAATAGACCCTGGAGATAGACAGATAACAACTACCAGGAGGTCTTTCTATCACCCTACTCCCTATTACTGCAAGTATAATTGAAAGTGATTCCATCATGCTGTCCTCACCACTATGGGGATGAAAAGAGGCTGATGAATTAAAATAAATGTACATTTGGAACAATTCTCTAGAAATTCTACCTTTGTGTGCACAGACATAGCAATAAGGCCAGAAAGGAGAGAAAATGTGAGTATGTATGCATGCTTTTAATAATTATTCACAATCCATTGACTCATTAATTTTTGGATTGTCTGTCTACTTTTAAGATAAACTATGCAGGGTATATGCTTATCTGTATGGGTAGATTAAATGCTACTTTTTTGTTCTGCTCCTTAAATTTTGTATGTTACGATTTCCTAAATACACTCCAGCAATGCAAAGGGGGGCAATTCGGTGACGCAGTGGATAGAAGACTGGGCTTCGAGTCAGGAAGATCTGAGTTCAAATCCAGCCTCAGAAACTTCCTTGCTGTGTGACCTTAACCTCTGTTTGCCACTGGAGAAAGAAATGATAAACCACTTCACTATTTTTGATGAGAAAATCCATAGACAGAGGTCCACAGAGTCATGAAGAGTAGGACACAACTGAAATGACTGAACAACAGCAAGGTGAAAAGTTCTGTCTTTTTACAATGTCTGGACCAATCTAAGCTTCCTTAGCAAATGATACTCTCCATTGTAAATGAAGTCTTATGCTGTATCCCAAACAACCCCATTTTCTCATTGTGGAGCAGAATCTGTGATTGAACTTGTGTGCACCAACACATGAATTGAGAAGAAAAAAAAGCAAAAAAGATATGGCTCTTCACGTACTTCAAATGCCACATATATATAGACACTAATCACCATGAACTAAGATTAGTGGTTGATGACTTCAGTGTAAGAAGTCTCTTGTTACCTGTAGCAACCGAATAGGATCTTGCTGTTGGTGTATTCTTTGGATCTTCCTGGAAAGGTTGTCTATGATGTTAATTCGTTCTTGACACAATTCCATTTGCTCATTATATGTTCTAAATGCCTGTTGGGTGTTTTTATCAACTAATTTCTTTGCAGCCATTTCCTCTTCATCAAGCAATAAACGCAGTTCAGTAAATTTTCCTGTTAGCCAGATTTTGGTAGCTTCAGAATGTTCCTAAAAATAAAATGATTTAAAAAAAATTCCAACTGATCATCCATTCCTCAATTATGTGTGTGTTGGGATAGGGATGGGGGAAGGGGTGTCGGGGGGAGTGAGATGGTAAATACTCCTCTGAAACATGGAGAATAAGAATATTCCCTGAGCCATTAAGTTCCCTTCTTTTAAAGAAAAGTATTTTCCCAATTACAAGTAAAGACAATTTTAAACATTAATTTTTTTTTAATTTAAAGTTCCAAATTCTCTCTCTCACTCCCTTCCTCACCTCTCCCCTCACTGAGACAGTGAACATTTTGATATAGGTTATACAGGTGCAATCATGCAAAACATATTTCCGTATTAGTCACATTGTGAAAGACATAGACCAAAAAAAGAACCATGAAAAAATAAAGTGAAAATAGTATGCTTTTATCAGAATTCAGACTCCACCAGTTCTTTCTCTGGAGGTGGATAGCATTTTTCATCATGAGTCCTTTGGGATTGTCTTGGACCACTGTGTTGCTGAGAACAGCTAGGTCATTTACAGTTGATCATCATACAATGTTGTTACTGTGTGGATATTCTCCTGGTTCTGCTTACTTCACTTTGTTTGTGGAGCTCTTTCCAGTTTTTCTGAAATCATCCTGTTCATCATTTCTTATAGCACAAAAGTATTCCATACCACAACTTGTTCAGCCATTCTTCAACTAATGGCTATCCCCTCAATGTACAATTCTTTGCCACCAGAAAAGAGCTGCTATAAATATTTTTGCACAAATAGGTCATTTTTCCCCCCTTCTTAAAAAATCTGTTTGGTAGTTGTGTTGCTGGATCAAAGAGTATGCACAGTTTAAAGCCCTTTGGGCATAATTCCAAATTGCTCTCCAGAATGGTTGGATCAGTTCACAACTCAACCAACAATGCATTAATGTCCCAATTTTCCCACACCTCCTCCAACATTTATCATTTTTATTTTCTGTCATTTTAGCCAATCTGATAGGTGTAAGGTGGTACCTCAGAGTTGTTTTAATTTGCATTTCTCTATTCAATAGTGATTTAGAGCATTTTTTCTTATGACTATAGATAGCTTTGATTTCTTCATCTGAAAACTGCCTGTTTATATCCTTTGACCATTTATCAACTGGGGAATGACTTGTACTCTTATAAATTTGACTCAGTTCTCTCTATATTTGAGAAATGAGGCCTTTATCAGAGATACTTGCTATAACAATTATTTTCCAGCTGTCTGCTTTCCTTCTTATTTTGGTTGCATTGGTTTTGTTCATGCAAAACCTTTTAAATTTGATATAATCAAAATTAGCCATTTTACATCTTGTAATGCTCTCCATCTCCTGCTTGGTTGTAAATTCTTCCCTTCTTCATAGATCTGACAGGTAAACTATTCCTTGCTCTCCTAATTTGTTTATGGTATCAACTATTTACATCTAAATCATGTACTCATTTTGATTTTATCTTCGTATACAGTGTAAGATGTTGGTCTTTACCTAGTTTCTTCCATAATGCTTTCCACAAATTCCCTTCTTAACAGGTGGCAAAGCAACCTCTATGGTCAGAAGGGTGGTAGAGATTCCCTTCTCAAGGGAAACAATTTCATCAGAGAGGGCCCAGACTACCTGGAGAACTGATCTACAATTACTTCTTTGAATCCCTCACTCTCCTTGACCTGCTATTCTTGTTGCACTAATTTTCAGCTCTGAACATTTCCTACCTTCCCCTTCCCAGTCTCATTTCTGGCTCCTGGACTTCTAAACCATGCTGTCTCATATTAGAACTTCCCCAGTGCCTGGGGCCTCTTCATCCTGGAAGACTCAACTATCCCTGTGGCCTTCTAAACATGGAGCACCCCACTCTATAAGACCTTCCCCCTTCTCCCATTGGTGAGTGCCTCCAGCAGCCTCCATTTTGTGGAGGTGCCCAGACTCATCTTTATTCCCCTTCTGGTTCTTTTCAGGTACCCTTTTCCTCCCCCTTCCCCTTTTCAGCTTCCTTTTGTGTGCTGTCTTCCCCCATTAGAATGTAAGCTCCTTGAAGGCAGGGACTATTTTTCTTTTTGCTTGTATTTGTTTCCTTAGTGCTTGCACAGTGCCTGGCATATTGGTATTGTTTAGTCATTTCAGTTTTGTCTGACTCTTTGTGACCCCATTTGGAGTTTTCTTGGCAAAAATACTACAGTGATTTGCCATTTCTTTCCCAGCCCATTTTACAGATGAGGAGCTGAGGCAAATCACCACCACAATCAGCAGTAGCAGATTCCTTTTATTCCCCTTCTGGTTCTGTTCAGGTACCTTTTTCCTTCCCTCCTCCCTTTTCAGCTCTCTTTTGTGTGATGTCTTACCATTGAGAGCAGGGACTATCTTTTTGCTTGCATTTTTATCCTTAGTACTTAGCACAGTGCCTGACAAATAGCAAGCCTTTAATAAATGCTTTCTTCCTCTTCTCCCTGCCTGCCTTCCTACTTGTCTAGTCTTGCTCCTAGGCTGCTCAGCCCCCAAATCAGGCCAATTTCATCCAAATTTATGCTTCACCTTTTCTGATGGGTTCTCATTGCTTCTTAGCAATCCTTTTATCCTACACTTAATGGTTTCCTATCTCATTTTGCACAGTGAATCTTCCTAAACTTTTCACTTCTCTTCAAATCTCAGCCCCTTTCTCTTCCCTATAACAATAGCTTATTACTTCACCTGTGTATATTACTGAGAAAAGTGAAGTCATCTTTTATGAACAACCTAATGATGCTGCCTTCAAACCTGAAAACTTCTCAAGGTCCTTCCTTCCTTCCTTCCTGTCTGAGAGTTAAGAGGTGTCTCTATTTCTGCTTAAGGATAACTATCCCATCTGTTCTAATGATGCTATCCCCTATCACACTCCTCTAGGATCTTGTTCTTTCAAGCATTTCTTATGAATTTTCAATTTCTCCCTTTCTAGTGACTCTTTCCTCTTCTGACCCCTCTGTGTTCAGATCTTCTCAATTCTCTTAAAAATATCTTTGGGCATTATGAACTTCACAAACATTCACAAATGTGAACATTTCCACATATAAAGAACAGAGAAAAGAGGATTGTATATAGAACAGTGTATCTCTATTTCCTACAGCTTTTAAAAGTATATAGTAAAGTAAATGCAGTAGTACCCACACTGTCCTGCTTTCTGAGTCCCCCTTGAAATGTCCTTCTGCTCTCTTCTGTTCATTTTCAATTTTCATCAATGACTTGATTTTTCCTATTCTTTTTTTTTTCAACATCATCATCTCTCTCTCCCCCCACAAAAAAATTGAAAGTTCTTCTTTGTAACAAATAGGTAGTCAACCAAAACAAATTCCCACATTGGTCATGTCGGAAAATGTAAGTCCTATCCTGTCACTATGTCCACCACCTCTCTACCAAGATTTGGGAAACATGTTTCCTCATCAGTCTTCTGGACTTGTGATTGATCATTGATTCATGTTCTTAAGACTTTCAAAGTTGTTTTCCTATACAATATTGTAATAATTGAATAAATTGTTCTACTGTTTCTACTCATTTAACTATACCTCAGTTCACACTAGTCTTCTCAAGTTTCTCTGAATCTACCCTTTGGTCGTCTTATGGCACAACAGTATTCCATTATAACCATATGTTGCAATTTGCCCAGCCATTCCTCATTTGATGGGTACACATTTGGTTTCTAGTTCTTTACTATAATAAGAGTGCTACTACAAATTCTTCTTATTTCTAAGAATAACTTCATTGATGCTTCTTATCCCACTGAGCTAACTGTAACCTCTCTCATTGCCAAACATCTTTAAAAAGTAGCCCAAATCTGGTGTCTCTGTTGCTTAGCTCCTGCTTACTTTCTAACCCCTTGCAATCTGGCTTCCTTTGCTAAAATTACTCCCTCACAATTCAGTAATGGGCTCTTTATTATAAAACCCAATGGTCTTTTTTTAGAATTATCCTTGATTTTCTTGCAGCATTTGACCTGCTACCTATCCCCTCTACTGCCATACCTTCCATTTCCTTGGCTTCTGCAATCCCTTTGCTCCTTTTGTACCTCTCAGACCACTTTTTTGTTTTTTTTTGCTGGTTCTTTTGGTTTATATCTGTAATTCCATTGGTGTAGGCAAATCCTTGTGAGGATCCTTCCTCTACCCAATGCAGATAAGTAACTGTTCTGCAATTTAGTTTAAGAGTTGCCTGTCAGCAACAGTGAGAAATAAAGTAGCTTGTCCAGGGTCAGAGGTAAAACTTGAATCCAAGTTTTCTTGACTCTGAGATAAGCTTTCTATCCACTAAGACATGCTGCCATTTTACTGGCTCATATTCTTCCAAAATTCTTCCACAAAGGACTTAACCAATGTAAAAAGTGAGTGGGTAGGGGGGGTTTCCTCTTAATTTTTTTTAGATATTACATATCTAAAGTCTTCTGAAATATATAGACTATCCATCTATTATCCATAGCTCTCCCAGCATGATGTTAACCTCCTTTGGTCATGTATCTCTTAGATGAAATCCTTTATACTTTTTCTTACACCTAAGTCATCATTGACAAAACACTGCAACTTATTTATGTCCACAACATGTCTCTTAGGTGCCCTGAATGTGATCTACCGTTGCTTGTCCTGGGAACATTAGTCAGCCCTTATTACTCTGTATCATTATCTAACCTTTTCACATGTTCCAAAGTATTTTCTGTTGCCTTTAAGAATTTCTTACACTGTAATACTGTAATATGCATTGCTTACTTGTGTAATCTTATCCCACTTAATTATAAGTTTATTGAAGTCAAGGACCACATCTTATTTATCTTTGTATTGTTTCCTCCTCAATGCCCACCTTGCTCTTCTCCATGTCCCCCAGTTCCTATCAGTGGTTAATGCAATGCACAGTGCATACTAGGCAGTTAATATGTGTTTGTCAAATGAATGGATGAAAGGCTTGTCTTCTTTCTTCAACTACATCATGTACTTCTAGAAGATAAGGATTGTAAATTTTCCCCCTCATTTCTTGTGTATACTTCCT